CACTTTCTCAGAGCTTATCGAGTTTAAGACTGATTCATAATTTTGGAAGTTCCGATTCAAGCTCTTCAGACAAAGGGCCAGCAACAACCGCCACTTGGAAGACTCAATCCGCCGAAGAACTCTCGCTGTGTGGGTTCACATCTTCAGCTTTCAGTGAATCGTGTGGGCACCAACCATCGGTTTCCTCTAAAAATTCATTGGTACCGCAAAAATCTTTTCTGCACTGCATTGGCAAACAGCAAGCATTGTCTAATATCACTAAACGCACGTTGCCTCCTTTACCTGATTCCATTCCTGATAGTTCGACTATACATTGTACACCTCTGACGAGAAATGCCGAAGTGGCAAAAATTAATGCATCAACTACTACAAGTTTAAACAAACCACTATCTTTTCCTACTAACACTCTTCTATCACTGCCAGAAATGGCGAAATCTACATCTAAATTGTTTACTACACCAGAAACGTGCCCTGAAAACTTGGTTTCTAAAACGACCGCGTCTACATCGCAGTCAAACGTTGCTCCACATTCAAGGTTGGCAGTCCCGTCAACTGATGGAACATCATGCCAAAAATTAATAGCTCCTTCTATCACAACAAAGGCAATATCCAGTCCTAAATTTTCAGCTTTGCCCGATCAGGATACTTCGGTTGTGGATAAAAACATTTCTCAAAGTTCCTCTGCAAATTGTTTGGATGTTGCTGGAAATGTTGCGTCTAGAATTCCTGCCTCGTATGCACGAGGGTTTTCAACATTCTATGTTCCCTTCCTGTTTGATCCACCATCGTTCAATGACGACAATAAAGACTTCTCTTCTGAAAATGTTGCACCCGAACAAGCGTCAAATGGTGGTGGGTGGAGTATAGAATAAGTGATTTCTTCACTGACTTGGCATTAATTATACATATAATCTTCAGTCCTAGTCATCCAAGTTGGCACTGTGATTTTAGAGCACGCTCATGAAACTCTTAATTCGGATTAAAATTGAATACTAAAAGTTGATGCAAAATTTTTTGTATATAAGAGTAATTTAAATAAACTTAAAGCAACTATACTTTTCACATTACTTGAAGAATTTATCAAGGATGAAGTGCTGTACAAGCATGCAATCTTTCTGCATCAAACTCAAGCCATCAACACCAAAGTCCAACTTGCCTGGATCATCAATTTATGGTATACGAGAACATTCACCTTCGATATAAATTTATGTTATTGCTCTTGTTTGGCCTGATTACCATAAACCGCATACACAACACGGGGCTTCGGCATCTTGCTCTGTAGATAACTCTACTTTTAGGAGTTCTTTCATTTTGCTACTAAATTCATAATATAGATTCCATTACCTCTGTACTGACCTCATGACACTGCATATTTCAATAATCCATTAAAGCATCTCCTTCCGCTGCCGGCTTTCTTTCCACAACGCTCCACAACACCTTCCCTAACAACAGCACCATGTTTTCACTATGAATAGTACCACCACCACCCCCTCACATAATTATAATAATAATAGTCATAATAATCATCACAATCCTGCGTAATAATACGCAGCCTTACGGATAGAAAATAATAATAATAATCATCCCCCTCACCATAATTTCCACAACGTCCCACACCACTTTCCCTAACAACAGCACCACGTTTTCACTATGAATATTACCAACACCACCACCATCCCCCTCACCACCACCACCATCCCTCTCATCATCATCATCACCACCACCACCACCACCACCCCCCGTCACCACGTCCGTTGTTGCGTATGACTCATGCCATCGTAGCCGCAGCTTCGTTCATGCCTGTGCTACGCTTACAAAAACCTCGATGGCTACAGGTCTCTGGCCGAGATGAACCACCGGCCACAACCGATTATTTTTTATGGCTTCTATTTCCAGTATTTGAGAGGTTTTCTCGGAACTGTTCACCCGAGTTATTCTTTTACTCGAACACGTTTTTGTTCTACAATATCCTGTGGTTACTGACCGAGTGTTTTGACTCGCGTTGAATGATTCTTTGCTAATGTTAACATACAGTCGATAATAAATAATGTCATGCAGTTATTACATGGTCTTCATGATTCTCACATTCCTTCGTGTAATGATACTTTAGATAAAGAGTCGAACTTTAACTTTATACGATATCTTTTACCGAGTTATCTTGCACGAAAGTTCTTTCCATTATCGTAGTGCGATAGTTTCCTGAATATGAACATTTTTACGAACATCAGAAGTAACTCTCGATAAAAATATTATTATTATTTAACATAAGTTGAGCTCAACATAAGCTTTATTTACACAAGTTCCGGGACGGCTTATATGGTCCTCCAATATGCTGCCTTTAATGTGGATCGAGTAATGCAAATTTTTTCGCGTGTTTGCTGTAGCTTCCGGAAATACCAGCGCTTGGACCTGTAGTAGAGCGCCGGCCGCTTACCGCCTCTGCTGGTCTCTGCTGAACTGCTTTGTCTTTCTGTTGTGTCTCGGCGCTCTGGATTTNTAGAGCCTCGTTTTTCCTGAACTCCTGCAGTGTTCTGGCTTAGAGCCTCGTTTTTCCTGAACTCCTGCAGTGTTCTGGCTCTACCTCTGTACGTCTATTCTAAACTGTCGCAGGGTTATGACATGGTCTTGACATATGACTTTGGCTGGGCATTGCTTTATAGTTTCCTGGTTGGTGAACCGTTGCTGTATTCGGTCTGTCAGTTGTCTGAACATTCGATTGGTTTGTTGCAATTCCCATCGAGCTCCAAATTCGGCTAAATTCGCCTCGTGTGAAGTAAATAGTGAAATTATTTAATTTTAATTGAGTTCATGTGTGTATGAGGCTTTTTCATTGTACGGTGCAGTACTGTATACAAAAGTTATAGTACATTGCAGTGCAGTACAATACAACACAGTACATACCAGTGCAGTACAGTATAATACAATACAGCACAGTGCAGTACAAGCAGACCAACGTACCAAAGAAGCTAGTACGAAAAATCGAGTTCTTTGGCATAGGTCACGACCTCGCTATGCAGGGCAAGCATACGGTCCCAACCGGACACCAAAACAGGTTATAGGCTGCAGCTGATGGGACGCGAACGTTGGTAGGTCAATGCTTCTGTGATTTGTGCGTGTGTGCAGTGCGTGTATACCTGGACTTTGCTAAAGCTTGTGACAAAGTTGACCATGTGGTGCTCTTTAGAAAGCTGAGGCTGTTGGGGGTAGAGGGAAGCCTGTTAAGGTGGATCTACAACTTCATTACAGATAGAGTACAAGCTGTCGCAATTGGAAACTCGAAATCGAGAGAAGCGAGGGTGAAAAGCGGAATTCCACAGGACTCAGTGCTTGGACCGATTCTCTTCCTTATCCACATTGCCGATATCGACTCGGAGCTTACTAAGGCATCTACATCGTCATTTGCGGACGATACAAGAGTGCTGATGAAGATCACAGATGAACTAGACTGCTCGAGATTACAGGATGACCTATCGTCAATCTACGATTGGGCCCCAGTGAATAATATGCGGTTCAACGGCACCAAGTTCCAAGTAATGAGATACAGAGACCGCACAGAGATTGGGATGCCACATCGCTACTTAGTCTTAGTCCGCACATCGCTACATCGGGATGCCACAAGGCACAGAAATTGAGAAGAAACAACTAGTTCGAGATCTCGGAGTGTTGATGAATACTGAAGCCACGTTCGATGCCCATACCGAAGAAATAGCCGCGCACAGCAGGCAAAGGATGGGGTGGATCTGGCGGACATTTCGAACGAGAGAAGCAACACCAATGACTACACTCTGCAGAGCCCTCGTGCTCCCCAATCTTGAGTATTGCTGCCAACTTTGGGCGCCGCTCAAGGCGCGTGCGGTGCGGAAACTGGAGTCAGTCCAGCGGACCTTCTTCGTGAGGGATCACTGTCCATGGTAGGACCGAGGCTCTTTAATGCCGGGGCTCTTTAAGAGGAGGGGAGTTCACCCTTGCAACATTCTAGAGACGACTGGACAAGTGGTTGAGAAAGATCCCGGACTGTCCAGTAGTGGGAAACCACCCTCAGCAAGTGACAAGCAACAGCATCTTTCATCAGCTGGCCCAAAGGAGGGCAAATAGACGGAACACGTCCAACGTTACATCCGACGACGACTCGGAGACTGAGGACGACGAAGGCGGCGCATCAGGTTGACCGGGGACTAGGAAGTCCCGAACTCATCATAAGGTCATATGGTGTGTGCAGTGCGTGTGCCGTGCACGCACTGCATTCACTGGTCTAGCAGCGATTGCACCCAGTCAGCTACGTGGGAATTTACGCGCGCACCCGTGCGTGCAGTGCGTGCGAGCGAGCTTTAATATCCTGCTGCGCGACATGTTGTATTTACCCGCAAAACTTACCCCTCTTCCATTCAGCCATCCTCATCCATCTGACTCTCATCGCCTCCATATTCCTAGATGAATATTTGTTCCCATCCCACCTTATCGTCCATCTCTTTCGTCTGTCTCTGTCCAGCCATCCGCCATATCCTCCATTTCTCTTCGCCCTTCCATCTCCAGCCATCCACCTTATCCTCTATCCATCTTTCTTCGATCATATTTATCCTGCCTTATCCTCCATCCATCTCTCTTCACCAATCTTTATCCATCCTTATCCTCCATCCATTTCTATTCGCTCATTATTATTCAGCCTTATCCTCCATCCATCTCTCTTCACCAATCTTTATCCATGCAAGTGTGGTGTGCTGCAAGTGTGGTGTGCCGCAAGTGTGGTGTGCTGCAAGTGCGGTGCGCTGCAAGTGTGCTGCAAGTGTGGTGTGCTGCAAGTGTGGTGTGCCGCAAGTGTGGTGTGCTGCAAGTGTGGTGTGCTGCCAATGCTGTGTTATGCCAATGCTGTGTTATGCAGCAACACCTGTTGCCTCTGATGACCCAATTGTTCATTAAATAGCATGTCCGTTAATGCTCTCGTATGGTCTAATAATGGTCTTTATTATCAACAGTCACTAACTGCCTTGCTTGTCTTGCAGGTGGAGAGACACGAGGTGCCGCCTTTTCTTCCACTAAACCTGGACCCTCTCCCTCAACCAAACCTGGAGTATCTGGCCCTTCTACTTCCTTCTCGGCTACTCACTCAAGACTAGGCGTTGCTCTTCCTTCGTTGACGGGAGTGTCTTCCACTTCGTTCAAAAGTGATCCACCGCAACTTCCTCCACTGCCTACCCGTTCTGCACTTCTTCCTCCCAAGGAAAGCAATAAAAACACGGAGAGTTCTGTCGAGATAAATACTTCTCCTGTTAACCCTGCGCATCTCCAGCAACTGTTGGGTGCTAAAAAACCTACCCTTCCCAACCCTGGCCGGCCAAGCGACGACCATAATTCCCTTTCAGGGACTGTCTCGGGATCCTCTACAGCTCCTGGGAGACGGTCGGCCGTCTCCGCAGTTGCGGCCGCGACCGGCAACGATTTTGCGCCGGTATTGCGTCGACCAACCAACATTCCTGCTGCGATTGGCGGCGATCCTGCCGCGGTTTTACAACGATCACCACCGTCTACGATCGGCGTTGGTTCGGCGCAGATTCCGCGCCAGTCGGCGCCTGATGAAGGAGACTTGAGCGACGCCGAGGAGCAGCAGGAGAGCGTGCGGCTGAGCGACGGGTCTCGGGTGGACCTGACTCCTCTGTACAAGTCGCTGGTGCAGCGTGACTACTTCCACCTTGTCTCGCGTAAACGTGCGACGGAGTTGCTACTGCAGGGTGAGATATAATAAAATATTGGCAACGAAGATAACACGTCGAATATTGGTCACTAGGGGAACATGTCAAATATTGGTCACTAGGGGAACATGTCTTTAAAACACGTGTTCCGCAGCAATATATACGCCCATGCTCGCCTGTTGTCCCGCCTGTTGTCCCGCCTGTAAGATGAGTGCCACCTTCTGATGAAGTGGGCACGCGTTGAAGATATTTTGGTTGCTTGATATTTCGATCGCTTACGGGGACAAGATATTTCGACCACTTACGGGGACAAGATATTTCGACCGCTTACGGGGACAAGATATTTTGGTCGCTTACGGGGACAAGATATTTTGGTTGCTTACGGGGACAAGATATTTTGGTTGCTTACGGGGACAAGATATTTTGGTTTACCGGGACAAGATATTTTGGTCGCTTACGGGGACAAGATATTTTGGTCGCTTACGGGGACAAGATATTTTGGTTGCTTACGGGGACAAGGTATTTTGGTCGCTTATGGGGACAAGATATTTTGGTTGCTTACGGGGACAAGATATTTTGGTTGCTTACGGGGACAAGATATTTTGGTTGCTTACGGGGACAAGATATTTAGGTTGCTTACGGGGACAAGATATTTTGGTCGCTTACGGGGAGAAGATATTTTGGTCGCTTAAGGGGACAAGATATTTTGGTTGCTTACGGGGACAAGATATTTTGGTTGCTCACGGGGACAAGATATTTTGGTTGCTTACAGGGACAAGATATTTTAGTCGCTTTCAAAGATATTTTGATCGCTTTCGGGTACACTACAGGGCCATGCTGGCACTAATATTAAATTAACAGTTCAAAATCGATTCTACTACACTCCACAAGAAATTTTTTAACGTGCCACATATTATTGATCCGTTCATCCATGTCCCGCAGATGGCGGGGACGGGGCGTTCGTATTACGACCGTCGTCTCAGGAGCACCCGCTGACGCTGTCGGTGGCGTGCGGTGGCGGGAGCTTCAACGTCTAAGTTAGGATCGGGTGTCGTAAGCAGCGTCCGAGGCTACGATGATCGCAAGTTAGGATCGGGTGTCGTAAGCAGCGTCCGAGGCTACGATGATCGTACAGTTGATTGTTCACGAAGAAAACTTTAGCCGTTTATACTATCGACATGAACTTTCCCCATATACAAGCACTTTAAGGGGAGCGTCTGGATAAAAAAAAAACTTGTTTATTCACGGACAGATCATTTTAAAACGTAGTACCATATGTAAAAGAGAAATCTGAAACTTTTTTGCTCATGTAATTTTTTCGAAAAAAATTAGAGAAAACGTGAAACTCGTAGAAAACGGCAATCATTAACGTGCTACAACATGGAGACATATAATTTGATTTGGAAAGACATATTTAGTGATTGACCGAGCACTTTTTCCAAATTCTTATTAGCGCATTTTCTCATTTATGGAAAAATGCACTATTGTGCTCGCCATGTCCGTCTGTCTGTCTGTCCGTCCGTCTGTCCGTCCGTCCGTGACCTCAAGTTTTCGTCGACGAGAAAATGCGCTCTCTGTCACTCCTGTCTCTTATACACATCTANCTACCTGGGCCTACATCTGTACCACCTGGGCCTACATCTCTCCTACCTGGGCCTACATCTGTACTACCTGGGCCTACATCTCTACTACCTGGGCCTACATCTGTACTACCTGGGCCTTTATCTCTACTACCTGGGCCTACATCTGTACTACCTGGGCCTACATCTCTACTACCTGGGCCTACATCTCTACCACCTGGGCCTACATCTGCACTACCTGGGCCTACATCTCTACTACCTGGGCCCACATCTCTACTGCCTGGGCCTACATCTCTACCACCTGGGCCTACATCTCTACTTAAATGTCTTCACCTGGGCCTATATCTCTACTGCCTGGGCCTACATCTCTACTTAAATGTCTTCATCTGGGCCTACATCTCTTCTACCTGGGCCTACATCTCCACTTGAACGTCTCCACCTGGGCCTACATCTCCACTTGAACGTTCTAGGTGGGCTTACATCTCCACTGAACGTTTCTACCTTGGCCTACATCTCCACTGAACGTTCTAGGTGGGCTTACATCTCCACTGAACGTTTCTACCTTGGCCTACATCTCCACTTGAACGTTCTAGGTGGGCTTACATCTCCACTGAACGTTCCCACCTTGGCCAACATCTTCACTTGAACGTTTCCACTTTGGCCTACATCTCTGCTTAAACGTTCCACCTTGGCCTACATCTCCACTTGAACGTTTCACCTTGGCCTACATCTCCGCTTAAACGTTGCACCTGGGCCCACATCTCCACTTGAACGTTTCTACCTGGGCCTACATCTCCACTTGAACGTTACACCTTGGCCCACATCTCTGCTTAAACGTTCCACCTGGGCCTACATCTCCACTTAAACGTTCCACCTTGGCCTGCATCTCCAGGTTCCATTGCTAGTGAATTAAGTTGCTTATAATGATCGTTATTGTTTATGAATAGAATTTTTGAAAAGTGGCTACTTGAGATGGGCATTTATTTACCACGGGAGCTGTGATGGTTTGATCTCCTGCATCATCGAGTATAGTGTTGAACTCCATGTCTTTATTAGGAGTTTAACAACCGACGTATATTCCATCTATTTACACTAAAACTACGATTTCCGTGGCTTTTGCAGACTACTTCTTGAGATCTTAACGACGTTCAAACATTCCATTATTGATAGTTACGTCAACGCGCAACGGTCTAATATCAACTCTTACTCGTTGACACGACCTGCCTCTATCTCTCATCGGTTCATGCCGACTCCCTTCTACGCTTTCTTTTAATAGGTTAATAAAAACATAAGAACGTTTTATTAGCGGCTTGCCTATATTACCGCCGTGGTAATATTCATCAACGAACATTGCTTGTTGTTCTTAGTGTGCAAGAGTTTAGTTTGCGACGCTTGTTTTTTTTTGTTAACCTAAGCTGTTTGATGTTTGATTTTTCTTTTCTTTGTTGCCTTGTTTGATAAAATGTTTTGTTTTATGTCATCGACTATCATGTTCCAACAAACATCGTTTGTCTGGTGTTCGTTCACTCGTTGCTTGTTGACATTGTTTCAAGTAATTAAATTTGGCGAGTTGAACAATACTGATCGCTCATGTACCGCCCCATAAAGCAGACCTAACCAACGATTTTTACGCTAGTGCTAGCAGTGAACCTCATTTATGATACGCAACGTTGAACCGTGAAATGTTACTGTGATTTCTACTCACGATCTGTACAAAGTTACCCATTAAACAACAATTTGTTATGTTGAACCTGGTTCACCTGTTTTGCTAATATTCTGATGTACCTGCCTTGTCATCAATCCTATAGTAACGAAGGACTTCGCCGACCAAGAGTCATGTGTATCATGGCCCCTTTGGCAAGATCTTTTTTTGACCTCTGACTTCTTCTTAGTATCGATGTTTTTTCATACTTCCCCATGCATTCATAAATTAATAAATATATTGTTATTGATTTTTAGGACATCGCTTAATCTTCATTTGTGTCGGACATTTGTTTATACCGATCATCTAGATCAATGTATTGTACACTGTTTAGATCAAGGTATTGTAGAATGTTTAGATCAAAGTATGGTACACTGTCTAGATGAGAGTATTGTACACTGTTTAGATCATAGTATTCTACACTGTCTAGATCAAATTATTCTACATTGTCTAGATGGAAGTATTGTAGACTGTAACATTAAGATTATACAATCTATTGTACAAGTGGGTTAGTGATTTAAACGTGATATTGCGGTTGTGAATTACAGGCTCATGATGCAGGTGCCTTCACAGTGCACATTGTTCTCGGCAACTCGAACAGGTTTTTTTATTGCTGCGTCAGTGACGTCACTTGCGTTTAAAATAAACTCAGAATGGAAAAGTTATTTCTTTATAAGATGAAATTAGCATGTTTTAAATAGACTTCATTATGATGATAATTACAAGATATTCGATTATTTTTAATTCGAACAAATAATTTTATTACACTAACACCGGTTTTTTCCCAGAACATTGCTCGCATTTCAAGTACTTCTGAATTGCTCAATGGAAATCATTTCCTATTCTCAATTTGCTGCATGTGCTTGGTTTGAGCGTCGAGTCACTGCGTCAGTATTAATAGTCTTAATAGTTGTATTGACATAATAGTCGTAATGTTATTGTTATATTAGCGGCCTTTTGATCGCTTCGCTGTATTGCTGGACGGTTTTCAATGAATTGCTTTTGTTATGCGTCGCATGCAAAAAAGAAAAAAGCCTTTGTATGTGTAAAATTTTGATATTCTGAAACTAGTATCAATTTTATCACAAAGTATGCATTACAAATGAATAGACATGATACCATGGACATGATTGAGGACATCAGGAGTAAAGACTATCAGGAATGTTGGATAAGAATCAATTACTTGCCACTTTGTAATGTAAGTCAGTACGTCAGAGCTCGTCTCGAGACGTGCCGACAAAAAGTCTGCAGATCTCGATGTTTACAGATGCACGTAAACGCTGCAATTTTGTTTGGAATTAATTCAGGTCCATGGGTCAACCAAAATCACGTCGCGCTTGCTTCTGTTATTACATTTGCATAAAAAATTAGTACGTTTTTCTTCCTCCTCATCTTCAAGCTTATGTGCAGCGAGTCGAAAGAAGAAACAACTTTAGTTGAATTCACAGTGGCACATTTTCATTTACAACTTGTGTGCCGTTTTGTCATTTTATTTGATTTTCACAGTAAAATTTAATCATTATTAGAATGACGAAATGTACACCGATTATCGAAGATATCGTGAACTGACTGCCATCATAAACTTACAAACGTGTATAATGGATAACATATTGATGTACTCACCTCAAGTTCATTTACACTTTATGAACTAATGGTGTACAATGCGGCGCCATGTCACAAAATCTGTGTTCATTGTCGGATGTGGCACCTATTTCTTCTCAACTAGTGTTAATTTATAAATGCGAGTTGCTGCAAACCTACATCTGGTCACCAGCGCGGCGCACCTATTTCCTACCCTTAAGGCCCCTCTCACACAGGGCGGTAAATACCGCCAGCGTCCGACGGTATTTACCGCCGAACCTTAGCGGACATACGAAATGTGCACTGCTGTTCACTCACGACGGCTTTTACCGCGGCGTAGAATTTGACGCCTGACGCCCGCGTGTGTACTGCTAAAACTGCGGCGGTAGATTTGCCGAGACAGTTTAGCTTGCAATGGTCCCGGTTTTCAATGTAATCTTTCATCACGCTGGGCGGTTTTCCACGCCACATCCTAGCAGACAGTGAGGTCGTATTTTAGGAACATAATAAACAGCACTGCAAGACTGATAGATTATAGACTGATATTGTTAAATAAACATAAAGATATACATTGATAAATATATATTTCCTTAAAGTGATAGAGATATATTTCATATAACTATAAGATATATTTTTACATAAACATAGATATGGACTGATGGTGCATAAAGCACTGCAAGACTGATAAATTCTAGCGGTAAAAACCACCTCGTGTGAAAGATAGCGCGGTAAATACTGCCGCGGCATTTTTGACGCGCGCGGTATTTGTCGCCTTGTGTGAAAGCTGCTTAAGTCTCCAATCAAAATGTCCCAAAAACAAAACGGGTTGTAGAAACGAACCCTAATCGATTATTGCCTACAACTAAACTGTTTATATCGTGACTCTTCGTATTCATTTATTAAAGAATAAAATAATTTCACCGTAATTTACTAAATTTACGGCAGCTGTCTAGCCCCAATCACAACCCGTAGTGTGGGGCTACATGCACCAGCTTTCAGCGCTCCTACCTATAAGAAAGAAAGAAAAGACAGTATTGTATTGCCGAATATTCCAAATAACATTTTCCATAAATTGAGTAGGGAGACAATAATGCCTAATTAAAGTGTTAACTAATAAGCATTCAATCGTAACATACTAGCAATCTCGCCGCTCCGACACTTTTAGAATAGAATA